CCCCTCTCTTCCTCTCCCTCTCTCTGAAGGAGGAACATACTTGCCACAGTTTGTGTGTAGAGGTCAACAGAAACCCATCAGGAGTTGATTCTCTGTTTCCACTATATAGAATCCGATGATGCCAAGCTTGTGTGGTTAAATGCCTTGCCCCACTTGCCATCTCTACAGCCTGTTTTGAGAGTGTCTCTCTATGGATGCAGTCCTGGCTGTCCTGGAACTCACTGTGTTGAACAAGCTAGCCTCAAACTGAGATCCACCTGCCTCTGCCTCCGAGCACTGGGATTAAAGGCGTGTGCCACTATGCCTGGCCTAATGCTTAGTTTTTGTCTAAACCATCTCTTTCCTCTGAGGCCTGGGCACTTTCTTAACAGCTACTGAAACAGGACATACTTTTACATTCTAACTCAGAACACGCTCCTAAAATAGAAATTAAAATCCCTCAACCCTGTACTTTACCTTCCTTGATAAAATGTATCCTTGCTATTTTCTATTTAATTTGTGCCTGTTGGTTTTGTTTCTCTCTAGCCTTTCCTTCATGTGCTAGCCTCACACTGATTTCTCTTCTCCATTCCCAGTTTGAAACCTCATGTCAGCTGCCAAGTTTGTTTTTTACCCTCAGGGCAGGACAGTCACCAGCTTGGGACAGATGCCAGAGCCACCTGATCCTCTTTAGGGTTTGCATGCAGCTCCTAGTCCCAGTGCCTGCTGTCCTAGTCAGCCTTCAGACCAGGACAGTGTGGTGCTTATATCTGCCAGCAGACTCAACCAGTTGATGGCTTCAAGGGGCAGGATGGTGACATGCCCACAGCTTCAGCTGTGGCACCAGGAAGTGTGGCTCCCGGCTGAGATGCAGAACTTCGGCCGGCCGTTTCTGGCAGATCAAGGCTCTGTCGCTGTGATCTGCCAACATTCATCTCCCAACCCTTACCTGACCACCCCTCCCCCACTGCTCGGCCGTGGCAGCTGCTGAGTAGGGAAATGGCCTTCCTGTGGTTCCACAGCTAGCTCACAGAAGCCTTGAGATGGAACCATGAGAAGAACCACAGATAAACACCCTCCAGACCCTGGAAACCGAGAACTGCTGCTGACACCAGCTGTGACTGCCTGGCACTATGCCTTGTACCCAGAAGGCACTTGGTACACATTCAGAACTGAGTGAACCCAGTTTTGTGGGTTTCACATTGTCATGAGTCTGCTCTTAAGGAAGCCTGAGGCCATGCCTGTCAACTGTCAAAACTGTTGGCTCCTACAGACAACAAATAAGTGCTCCACTTCCCAAGCTACTTTACAGCTAGGCAAGACCATGAGCTGAATGACTTCCTGGGGAGGGGTGAACAACTGTCTATTCACTTGGTAAGGTAGTGATGACAGACCAAAGAAATGACACCCACACCCCCAACCTAAGTTCAGCTTGGTGAACCATGGGGTTACAGGAGCAGCAGCACCTAAAGCCAACCCCACACACTTGAGGATTCAGGAGAGCGGCAACCCTGAGTTCCTCGCCTACCTTGTGTCCTGTCTCGCTGGCTCCAGTGTCAGTCCCCCAGCAATTGCTCACTGTCTATACAAGCTTGGGAGGAGCCTGTTAATCTTGTAACTTTCTGAGCTTCTCTCTTCAGAGGGGAGGCTTATCAGTTCTGTGGAAACAGTTTCACAAGGCTACACACCCAAGTGGAGCTTGACGAAACAAGCAGAAAGGCTGAGTGCAGCTTTGGGGAGGGGTTGGTTTGTTGGTGTTTTAAAACATTCATTTGTTTCATTTGGGTCAGGGGAGCTCACAAAGAGCACATGGAGATCGGGGACAGAAGTGGGAGTCTCCTCCTACCACCTGGGTTCCAGGGACTGAACACAGGTCATTAGGCTTAGCGGCAG